GATGACGAGACGGCCGTTATGGTGGGGGGCGACCGACGAGAGGCCCAACTTAGTTCCAGGGCTCGAGCGGGCCGCGGCATCTCGAGTAAACACCGCCTGGAATGTCCCTCCCGAGTGGCCTGTCAAGGTTGCCGCGGCCCGAACGCCGCATGCATTGCGCAGTGAGCGCCGTGTCACCCGCGGCGCCGCGCGCCTCCCGGAGCCGGTGAGGTGATCTCGATCAAATCGGCTCGAGCCGAAGGGCTGCCGCGAGGGCATCTGATCGCCCTCATGACGAACGATTCCCGACGCTCTGTGACTCGAAGGCGACCGAAATTCGGGTCGGGGGAAGCTGCCGCGCCCCATTCCACCCCCTGAGGCTGCCCGTTTGCGCCACCTCGCAATCGTCCGGATGTCGCGTCTTTTCATGTGCCTCACCCACATGTTTGCGGACCTCAAAGCCGCTGGGATCGTTGCACGTCGCTGCATATTCGAGGAGCACGGGGCCCTCTAAGGTGGAGATTCCATCAGCTGCCATAGCAGCTTCGAGCGCCTAACTAATCCAGGTACTCGACGTCCTGCCGGGGATAAACGATGGTTCGACCGTAGAGCGGCAGGACGAGTACGGGACACGAAGCAAAAAAACGGGACAAACGCACGGAGCGACTCCTCAGACCCCCGGGGGTCGCGCCCTACCGGTGGGGTGCGTCCCAGGAGCCGCGGGGCCCGGAACTGACGCGCCTGGGGGGGTCGATTTCAAATCGAGCCCCCTGCAGTGCGCACAAGATCCTATGATCGAACACCGCGACCACGCCGCCTGGGCCTCCGCCGGGGGCGGATTTTCAGCCTGGGGTCCGAGTCGATGGTGAACTTGACGATGTCTGGAACTCAGGCTTCCCTGGGTGGGCTGCGCCGGCTCGCGTGAGGTGCCCCCTGGCCCCCGCGAGTGTCCCGGAGAGTAGGTAATGGCCCAGGGTTCAAAACCTGTCATAGGTCTGAGAACTGGTGAGCGTTAAGCATGTTGAGAACGTCAAACAGTCTCCTGAAGAGTCTTACTTTAGCATAGAAAGAACGCACGTGAGGCCAATTTCGAAACGCTGTGTAGCCGCTTGAAACCTCTCCTAGCCTAGAAACGAAAATATTTCGTATGCTCCGCCGGGCTGCCCTTCTCGGCGCACCGCCGTGACGATGCGTCGCATCCTCCTCGCCGCGGCGTGTGCGCGCGCCGCGGCGGCGAA